GGGGGGGGGGGGCTTTGCAGTAGAAATCCTGGAAGGTTTGTTCTCAAATGAGTGACACTCAAAGGCAGACCACACCCCAGAGTCCCCCCACCTGCTCTCTGTGTTGCAGGTAGACAAGCCCAGGGGGTGGGATAGCCTCCAAGTTGAAGACTCACACATTATTCATAATAAGCTGGGCAGGTTAAATCTGTGGGTCAGAAGACAACATTTGGGGCATGACCAACCCTCTGCCACCTGAACTCAGAGCCCTGTCATGTGTGAGGCAAACTGCTGTGCTCCACCCCAGAAGTAATCCCTGGTCCTCCCTCCTGGACCCGTAGTCCCACAGGAAACACAAGTTACAGAGGCAGAAAGTGAGTGGCAGCTAACCTGAGACCAGGGCGGCAGCTTCCCTGAGGGAGGGCCCACCAGCGGGACCAGGTGGAGATGCGAGGAGAACATAGCAAGCAGAGGAGGCAGCCTATGCGAAGGTCCTGAGGAAGAGTCAGAGTTCTGGGTCCAAGAGGAGACGAGGCCACACCAGAGAGTGGGAAGCTCCTGGAGAGCTGTGAGCACAGGAGGGATGGGTCCTGTCCACCTGCACCTTTGCAGCCACTCCTGCTGCTGTGGGAAGAAAGGGCTGGAGCAGGAGACCAGGTCTCAGTCTACTGACAAGTCAAGAGGTGGTGGGATGGAGAGAAGCAGACAAAGGAGGGACACTTGGGGAGCCCGGGACCAAGGGTCAGTGATAACCAGGTCTGTGTATGGGGCTGGGAGCATCAGGATGGCCCGGGGGTGAGGCGCACGTGGGTGTCGCAGTGGAGGCAGCGGTGCACTGGCCCCTCGGAGTGTGCCCTTCGGCCCTTAAGAGTCTGTTCTTATCTAGTGAAAATGACCAGCCCATGGGTCAGGGGCTTGGCACCCGCTCCACCCCTGGCCTTTGCTTAACTCTCGCACAATGGCTCAGTGCCGGGACCTGGAGAACCACCACCACGAGAAGCTCCTGGAGATCTCCATCAACACCCTTGAGAAGATGGTCAAGGGCGAGCTTGATGAGGACCTGCCTGACGACGTTCGCGCGGTGAGTGAGGGGTGGCGCTGCTGTGTGGCGGAGGGTGGTGGGCTCGGTGGGTGCTGGGGCCAGCAGAGTCCAGCCCAGCTCTCTGGCTCCAATAAGCCTGAAAACCTCAGTTTCCTCATCTGCAAAAGGGAACAATAAGCCCCTTTGCAGGGTGGTGGGCAGATGAAACAGGCTAACGAATCACCGGGGTGGGGCTGAGTGCTGCTCAACGACAGAGGAGCTCATGATAATTGGGTGGTTTCAACTACCCCCAAACAGGTTGGTTTCTACAAGCTCATTTCTGTGAGGCTCCTGGCACTTTCTAGGAGAGGTGGCTACAAATAGAAGCTAAGGTGTGAAGCCAAAGGTCTTTTAACCCTGAGTCTCTCTGATGAGGAGCACTGCTGAGATGCAGGAACCAGCCCCAGCACCATTTCTGATCCAGCAGGACCCGGCTCCCTTTCCACCAGAGCAGCCAATGATGGATGGGCACAGACCACAGGGTCGGCCTGAGCCCTGGGCTCCAGGTCCCTCCCTTGGTTTCCCACGCTGAGACCACAGGGTCGGCCTGGCCCCCGGGTCACCCACGCTGGGGTTTGTACAAATGTGTGTCGTTTCTGTGGGAGGAGCCACAGACAATGCTGGAGGGGCCCAGGCCAGATACTTCCCTGTCCGGAGCCTTTCATTTGCTCACCACTCGTTCCAGTCCATTTCTCCGCTTCTCTCCACCTCCGTGTCATCACCAGGTTAAGCCCATGACCTCTGCAGACCCCTGGGCTCCTTGCTCTCCTGCAGGCTGCTCTCCACACAGAAGCAGAGATCCTCCAAACAGCCAAACCTCCGCATTCTGTGCTTCTGCACATCCTCTAAGAGCCTCCCTGACTCAGAGTGAGCTCTTCATCCTGGCCCTCCAGCCCCTATGCCTGCCTGCGGCCCAGCCACCTCCTCCCCTGCCCCAGCCCCTGAGCCCCTCCCGGGTCTCCAGGGCTTGCTCCTCTCAGGTGACATCCCACCTGGCAGACATGCTCTTCCCATGGGTTTCCATGTGTCTGGCTCATTCTTGTCATTCAGATCTCAGCTCAAATGTCAGCTCCTTGGAGAGGCCTTACCCCATCACCTTCCTGAAAAACCGTAGGCCATCACAGACCTCATTTATCAACGTCAGAGTCGTCATCACAGCTCAAGCTAGCTCGCTTATGTTGCTTTGTTTATGTGACTACTCACGCTACATATAGGAAGGCGGAATGGCCTCTTCACCACTGTGCCCAGCCCCAGCTCTGGCAAGGTGCATGGCACAGCCAGGTGCCAGCAATTCCTCTCTCAGGTGCGGGCTAGGTCCTACAGACACCACGCCAGCTGCCCCTGGCTCCCTCAGTCTCTGTCTTGACCGAGACAGATGCCAGCACAGCAGCACAGAGGCAAGGCCACTGTGCCACCAGCCTCTCTTCCCTAAACACACATAAATGCTGCTGTTGTCCAGACACAGGGAGATGCCATCTTCCTTCAGCCCTGAAGTAAGGCTACCCCCAAGGGTCCCCTCTGGAACCCCCCAGACAGATGGACCATCAAGAGGTGGGTACAGCCCTGGCCAGTGGCTCAGTTAGTTGGAATGTCGTTCTATACACCCAAAGGTGAAAGGTTCGATTCCTGGTCAGGGCCACATCCCCAGGTTGTGGGTTCAATCCCCAGTCTGGGTGCACACAGTCACGATGTGTACGGGAGGCAACCAATCAATGTTTCTCTCTTTTTTATGTTGAAAATGTAATTTTACTAGATAATTCTTCATCTTACATAGGAGCAAATTCTGAAGAAACTCCAAAAGTTACGAGATTAAAAGTGGGGAAGTTCAGATGGGCTATAGGATCCATTACCTTGAAATTGCAAGAGACAGGGTTCCAACCCATAGGTTAACATGTACGTGTTAGGGCTGGCTCTCTCTCTCCTTCTCCCTTCCTCTCCCTAAAATCAATAAAAAACATATCCTCGGGTGAGGGTTAAAAAAACCCATAAGAAGTGAGTAGAGTCCCCTCATGACATGGCTCCCCCGTCTGTGATAGCCAGTGGGCACAGGGCTGAAACATGCTCCCTCTCTAATGACTGGGACACAGAGAAAGAAGCCCACAGGTCGCTGGCGGACAAGCAGGCGGCTGGCACTTCAGTGGCCAGCCCTCTCTCCTGCCTGGCTCTGCCTGGGGCTGTCTCACACCTGTCTCTGTGGTTCTAGGAGCACATGGCCCCTGCCCCTGGGCGGGCTGTGGGCAGTGGGCCGGCAACCAGAGCTCTGCGCACTGAGGCCTCACCCGGTCCAGGCTCTGCAGCTTATGCTCACACCCGTCTCCTTTCATCAGACGCCCCGCAGAGGCAGTGCCCGTATCATCCAGGGAACAGGTGGGAAAGCTGGATGACGGTCTCAGTGACATTCAGTAAACTGCCCAAGGTGATACCACTTGTGAGGACCAGAGTCTGGCTTCAGACTAGTCTGAGAGATGCAGAACCCAGCCCTGGACTGAGAGCTGGCACTGTGCCCCACTGCAGACTACAGGTGTCTGGGTTTGACTGTGGCCCTGGCACTAGGGCAACGGGGCTCTGCTCTGAGCTAAGGGACTCCCTGGGCTCCCTTGTAAAGCCCAGCAGTGGGCAGCCAGCTGGGCCACTGGACGCCTGTCCTCTGCAGGCAGTGGGAGCCCCTGTCCTTGTGGGCATGTGTGCACTTGCAGCTAAAGACATCGCCAGGACCTTACACTGTTGTTGTGTCTCTTTAGTGTCAAGCCATGCAGTGTGGCACATTGTTCTCAAGAGAAAAGCATGCCCTCACTGTAACTGTAGTAACAGCACAAGCAGCTGCCAGTTCCTGCGGCCCACAGGGCCTGCTGTCTTTCAATCTCCACATCAACCCAGGAATATCAGTACCACGATGATTCCCTTTTACAGATGAGGAAACTGAGGCACAGGGAGGAGAATAACCCACCTAAGACACGCAGTGTATAAGTGGTAGAGTTGGAATTGGAACACAGGCAGTTTGACTCAAAGCGTTTTAACAAAACGTCTACTGAGCCTGTAGCAAGATGGGGTTCAGATGAGGGAGCAGGGCCTTCGGTTGGAAAAATCTGGCCTCTAGTATGTAATTATCAAAGAGCATCTCATGATCAAAAGTTACACTGATGAGGTTCTCTCTTTAAAACTCTCATCCAGCCGAGTGACTGCGACCAGCTCATTCCATACTTAGAGCCAAATGTATATTTTAAAGTCCTTCACCACTTTGCAAGGAAAAGCAGACGACACATGTTGAAAGACAGAGCCTGGCGCTGGTGGTAAGGGGCCCTGAGTGGCACTTGGAAGGCACAGCTGCCCACACAACAGTGAGTGGGCAGCGAGCATGCTACTGCTTCCTGCCACCAGGGCTGAGGGCTCAGAGCCAGCCTGTGCTGCAACGAGCCACTGCCATTCTCGGAGGCAGCAGGAGGTCAGACAGGCTCCCTGGGCACTTATCCAGCTGCAAGGGCAGGCCTCAGAGAGGCTGCTAATTGAGTGGGTGTGACACAGGTGAGCAGTCCCTGGATAGGGTGGCTGTGACAAGATCCTGGCTCCCCCTTGGAAGAGGGGCTGGCAGTGTAGGTCGCTGCACCTTTGGCCAAGCAGGGACTGGTGGGGAGGATGTCTGCTCATTTCTCTGTGGCTAAGGGGGCTGCAGCATCGGTGAGTCCCCAAAATGGGTATGGCAGAATGATCTGATCCCAGGTGGACATGGGGCAACAAATCCTCAAGCCACTAGCATCTCGGTGGTCCTGGGGAGGGAACCAGCTGTGCCCTTCTCAAAAGTCATCCCCCCAAGAAGTCACTTTAAAAGAAATGGGTCTTTACAGCCACAAGGCCCACAGGACAGGGTGGGGCCACTCAGGAGCCAAGACGGCTGCTCCTCAAGGGTTCTGCACACCCTACCTCTACCTTAGGGCTTTTGACCAGCAGAAACGGGAGGGGAAGCTAGAATGTTCTACCCATAGAACTATTTTAAAGGCACACTAATGTAGCCACCATTCTAGGCAACCTGGAGTCCAGAAACAACTTGAAACTTACATTTTAAAATCATTTCTTTAAACCAGATTCCTTTCCTTTGTATTTTACAGTCACAGTTTTTCATAACCAATTCAAGCAGACTTCACTCCCACAGCTGCCTTCTATATATTCAAACTCTGGGGGGAACCATTTCTCTGCTTGGCCTCAGAGATCACTGTAACCCACTCTTTAAAATGGAGAATGAGGACCTGTCTGTGATGTGTCGACATGGCTGTGGCTGCTCTGAAGCGGCTGTACAACCCTGTAGCACACACTGCCTGAGGTCACAGGCAGGCAGGGTGGATGTATCTTTGAGCCTCCCCAAGAGCCTGGCCTGGGCCCTTCTATGCACAGAGGAAGGACTTAGTGACCTCTTGTCATCTCTCCTGTGTGACAGTGCCAGGTGCTCCCCAGAGGCCCCATGTCCCACACCAGCTAGTTTGGCTTTTCCATCTGGGATTCTGTGAAAAACCAGCATCCCATAAGATAGTAAGAGGTATTACTCTGAAAAGAATTCTGTGGCCAAATAAGTTGCAAAACTAAGAAAAAGTTAAAAAAATCCACAGGATTTTCCAGAGCTGTCCCTGGAAGAGGGCTCTTGGCACTGTGAAATTCAGAGGGACCTAGGGTGTGCAGACTTCCCAAAGGCATTTGACTGAAGAATGCTATTTTTTAATTTTTTTATTTTTTAGAAACATTAACATCTCAAGATTCCACAGAACATATTTTGGAGACTATTAACAGTTACTATACAAAAGAACAAACATGTCCACACCCATATGCAGGCCTCTCCTCAGTGCAGAGCACTCAGGCCAGGCGCTGTCCTGGCATCTCAAAGTGCCCCCTCCACGGGGGAAGCAGCCGCCTCAGAGGACTTCAGCTGCCGTCCCGCCCTGGGAAATGATTCCACTTGAGGGTCAACAGTGCCAGGCACACAGCAGCCACAGTGTGAACACATAGAGCCAGCCAGGTCTAATAGAGGGTGGCTGTTTTCAACAACTTTTTACAAGGTCAAGAATGCAAGCAAGCAGGAGACCCCACGTGTAGTATAAGGTTTGACCTGGTTAGCGTGGGCAGCAGTGGGGAAACAGTGTGGTGTGAGCGCCCATCTATTGGCAGGGCCTTCTGTCCTCAGAGCAGCCTCGAGCCCTCGGCCAGCCTCACACTTCCCACCTGGCCTGCAAGGGTCCAGGCAAGTCATACTTGAGGGTAACCAGGAGGGAACCATTCTGAAAGCCAAAGTCCTGAGTGAGGTTGCCTCCATCTAATCTGCCTTCTCCCTCGGATTGTAGTCAATGCCCTGGTTGACCCTTTCCCCATAGCACTCACCCCCTGCTCAGGGCTGGGAGGGCTGTCACCAGATGAGCTGTGAGAAAATTGCCCTGATACAAAGGTGAGCTCCCCACCGGGCACTGGCAGCCACCACTGGCACTGCCTCCACCAGCCAGGGGTGCTTGGGGCTCCTTTCCCTCCGCTCGCTGCTTTGTGTGCAGGGAATAAGGAGGTACAGTTACTCACTTGATATTTCGCTCACCAGCTTTTTGTGGACAAAGACACACTTGTGAATGCTGTGGGGGCCTCCCATGACGTCCACCTCCTCAAGATTGACAACCGAGAAGATGAGCTGGTGACCAGGGTCAACTCTTGGTGCACACATTTAGTGGACAAGGTGAGTAGATATAACCAGCAGGCTGCACCAACACCTCTAGCTACCAGCCAGGAAGAAACAAGGCCTCTCCCCTAGTACATACGTTTGCAAGAAGAAATGAAGAAAGTAGTAAAGTTAAGGACTGTAGAACTCTACACTAAAGACTTCCTGTTGGCCACTTAGATTCTAAAGCCCATGTGCTTCATCATTTTTTTAACTCTCACCTCAAATACAGGGTGTCCCCCAAAATGCATCCACACTTTAACAGCTGATAGTGCAATTGATGCTTCTTTCTTTTCAGATTTAACTCATTGGAATTAATAATTATTCAAAGCGTGTTTACATTTTGGGGGGACACCCTGTACATAGATAGATGAGGCAGAACACAGGACACTGTGAAGTAAATGAAAGACGTAACTATGCAAAGTTCAAAGAACTACTTTTCTTTCCCCCAAACAACTCAGTGAAAGACATTAACCAATTATCTGACCCAAGGAAACTGGGCTCTGGTCTCGCCCCTCAGATTCACAAGGATGAGATCATGAGAAACCGCAAGCGTGTGAAGGAGATCAATCAGTACGTCGACCACATGCAGAATGAGCTGGACAACCTTGACTATGGCGACATTACAGACTAGGGCTGTCGGCCCCAAGGCTTCCTTTAGAAAGCACAGCACTGGCCCTGGCAGGAGAGTGTCCACTTCCAACCTCGCAGGGGAGACTGACAGGATTTCTCAGCCCACAGCCCCTTTAATGCCATCCTTCCAGCACCCTGCAAAAACTCCCAAATATAGAGAGAAATAAAGGACTTATATTGCCTTTCCTCCCTTCTTTAGAGAAGTAATCAGAATTTCACATTCACGTGTAAGCAGGAGCAGTTAGCCAGTCTACTGAGAGCAACTCCCGAGGGGCTGCCAGTGGGGTGGACTCTGGCCGTGCCCGGTGTCAGCTGTGTGGCATTTTCTCCACATGCCCAGGGCAGGCTACTGGCTGTGGGCTGAGGCAGCCAGTGTGGACTGAGCCTTGCTCTCTTTGGGTGCTGGGGAGGGAAGCCAGGGAGGCCACTAGGCGGTGGCACCAAGGCAGAGGCTGCGGCTCTGTGTCTGAGCCTGGCCACCAGGACGAGAGACCCTCTGGGAAGGTGAAGAGCACAGCCGGGACACCCCACGCCACCTCTGCAGCCCAGCTGCTGTGTGGTGGGAATGTGACAGTGCCTTCTCTGACCACGGTCACGGGTTCAGGGAACATGCCTGGAAAGTGTGGTGAAGCACCTGGCAAGCAGCCAGTGCCCCATGAATGGGAGTTATGCCATTTTGCTACTCAGGTGGGCAAGGTCAGGCAGCTCAGAAAGCCATTGTTGCCTGAAACCAGACTCTCCAGTTTCCTTCCCCTGGGCCCTGGCACCATGACACCACCTGCCTCCCAGGACTGTGCAAGTGGCCAGTCAGGAAGACGCCGGGGCTCCCTGCATGGGACACATGCCGCCGGGGTGCCTTGCCCAGGCCTACCAGGGCTTTTAGCCCAGAAATAATGGACATTTCTATTTCCAAGAGTAAATTATATTTTTTCCCCCTGAAATAGTAGGAACAAGTAGAAACAATCAGCTTAGACCAAAGGAGTTACTTTCTAAATATCGTTTGATTTAAAACAAGGAAAAAAAGCCCAGCTGGTGTGGCTCAGCAGTTGAGCATTGACCTAGGATCCAGGAGATGGAGGTTGGATTCTCAGTCTGGGCACGTGCCTGGGTTGCACACTCGATCCCCAGCAGGGGGCATGCAGGCATCAGCTGATCAATGACTCTCTCATTGATGTTTCTATCTCTCCCTCTCCCTTCCTCTCTCTGAAATCAATAAAGACATATAAAAAATAAAAATAAATTTTAAAATGAGGGAGAGCCTGGCCAGGCGTGGCTCAGCGGTTGAGCATCGACATAGGATCCAGGTGATTGGGGCTCAATTCCCGGTTGGGAAACATGCCTGGGTTGCGGCTGCAGCCGATCAATGACTCTCTCATCATTAATGTTTCTATCTCTCTCTCCCTCTCCTTTCCTCTCTCTGAAATCCGTAAAGATATATTAAAAAAATTAAAAATTTTTAAAAATGAGGGAGAAAAGCCTTTGGGCTTCAGGTCCAGGGCCACACCTGGACACAGAGTCCATAGGGCCGTCTGCTGAAGACATGATGGCAGGACAGTGAGGCTCCTGGCCACAGGCAGCAGATACCAGCTTGTGCTGTGGGAGCTAAGCTGTCCCTGGTGAAACCCAGATATGACAAGGGGAGTGAAGATATGTGGAGGCACAAGTGAAAACAGGGCTCAACATCTTTCCAGGTTGGAGAAATATTTAATAAAATCAGGATTGAGAGAAAGCCACTTGTACACCTTGACCCCGCCCTCATGCTGGTTGGGCAAGGGCACCGTGGTGGACTCAAGGTGACCTCCAGAATGCTGCACTGCCTCAGACATCTCAGGCAACACTGAGTGAAGGCTAGGCCCTGGTGTCTGCAGGTTCAGGGTGCCAGTGGCTGTGCAGCCTCTGTCCTGCGGGTGTGCAGGCGCACCACCAGGCCTCACTCTTGCAGGAGCTTGTGCTTGACTGTGGTGCTCTCCGAGCAGAGATGGATGAAGAGGGCGCCCGCGGCTGTGCGCGCCCGCAGCTCCTGCAGCTCGTAGTCATGGGCCCATTCAACATTGCCCCACTTTTGGATCTGAGGACAGGATAAGAAGTAATGTTGAGTGAGCAGCTTAGTGTCCAGCTGCTGCCAGCTGGAGCCACATACCATCCCTAGAGCTGGCCTGAGGGCCACAGGCTCCAATCTTGCCAAAACATGCAAGACACACATAGTGGGGAGGCAGCAAGTAAGAACACAGAGGTGGCCAGAGCAGGCACTGGTGTCTAGAAGGTGTGGATGGTCTAGGATAGGTGCAGTCCAGGCCCAGGGCCAGCAGGTACCCACCACTACTAGGGATGCCAGGCACTGAAACCATGCATGTCTTCCCTGAGGCCGACCTGTGCACCATCCTTTCTCTCACACTTCTTCCTACAAGGAGGCTGGCGTAGGCAACCTGTAAAACATCATCCCACCCAGCTGGCATGGCTCAGCGATTGAGCATCAACCTATGAACCAGGAGGTCATGGTTCCATTCCCAGTCAGGGCACATGCCTGGTTTACAGGCTCGACCCCCAGCAGGTGGCGTGCAGAGGCAGCCGATCAATGACTCTCTAATCATTGATGTTTCTATCTCTCTCCTTCCCCCTTCCTCTCTGAAATCAATACAAAAATATATTTATTTTTTAAAAATGTGATCCCCTTGTGAGATGCCTGACCAGGCAGGGCTGCAAGTGGCCCCCGAGTGGGATAAAAAAATCAACCAGGCCACAGGGTCACTTTACCTGACTCCAGGGGGTGCTACAGCACTGCAAAGGCCTCTCCACTCTACACATGGGACAGGGCTGCAGACTTCTCTCCAGACTTTAAACTACAGGGGAAACCCTGGACATTCAGTGTGGCTGTCCAGATGTCAGTATCCCTCCCATCTGCCCCTGTTGGCTCCTCCCTGGGCGGGGGCCCAGAAGGCCTGGCCTGCCTGCCCCACCCATCCAGGAACTGGGAATCAGCTGCCACAGAAGCTATCTGCAGTGCTGGGTGGCCTAGTCTCAATCTGGACAACTGTGATTAACCATCTGGAGAGCATTTTATACTTTGAGAGAAATCACGTACTTCCCGTTTTGTGACAGATCAAACCTGAAGTTCAGAAAGCAATGGCCTGGCTTGGGTCAAAAGCAAAGCCCAGACCAGAAACCAGGTTTCCTGGCCTTCTATCTCTCAGAATCATCACAGCCTCACATCCCCACAGGTCACCCCTTTCCCCATTTAATTGTTTCTAACATCCAGAGAATAGCTAGCCTCTTTTACGATACAGAAAGAGTTTCCCCCAGGCATTTTTCTGAGCAGGTGACTAGATGGACCTGGGCCATTATGAAAGGGCTTCATCATGCTAGGAGCCAATTTGTAATAGCAACCTTATGAGGCAGGAGTAAAAACGGCAGCAAAGACTGCCTTAATTCTGTTAAAAAATTTGAGCCCTGGCCAGGTTGTTCAGTGGTTAGAAAGTCATCCCGTGCACTGAAGGGCCACAGGTTTGATTCCCAATCAGGGCACATACCTGGGTTGTGGTTTTGATTCCCAGTCAGGGCCCGTACAGAAGGTGACCAACTGATGTTCTCTCTCACATCAATGTCACATCTCTCTCCCCTCCTTCTCTAAAATCAGTGTACATGCCCTCGGGTGAGGGTTAAAAAAAACAGTTTGGCCCTGGCTAATGTGGCTCAGTTGGTTGGGAGTCGTCTCGTGCACCAAAAGGTTGCCGGTTCGATTCCCAGTCGGGGCACAAGCCCAAGTTGCAGGCTTGACCCCGAGTAGGGGTGTGCAGGATGCAACCAACTGATGCTTCGCTTTCTCATCGATGTTTCTCTCTCCCTCTTCCTTCCTTTCTAAAAAGCAATTTTTTTTTTTAAAAGCAAATGACAGCAGAGCAAACCCTAATTCTGTGTCCACTACATCAGCACCTGTGCACAGCAGCAGCTCCCTCTGTGCCCCCTGCCGCTCAGATGACCTGTGTGAATGTCAGGGCACAGAGCTCAGCCTAGAGCACCCACGTGGCTCCCAGCCATTTTAACAGGCCCATTCTGCAGATGTGCCAGGCCAAATGATCTTGATTTGCCTGCAGGGTGGGGGGGTGAAGGCCTTGATCCGGAGTCACCTGGCTCCAGCATTTCCTGAAGGTGTGGCCTGTGCCTCGGTGTCCTCCTGTGTTACATGGGGATAACAACAGCCCTCACCTGACCAGGTTGTTTAGAAGAGGAGGTGAGGCAATGAGGGGAGAGCTGAGCACAATGTTGGAAAGTAGTGGTAGTACACAGTTATTTTTTATTATTTGTTGCAGTTTCTGTTCTGTACACAAAAGTAATAAAACAGAGGGGTTAGCTCTCCCCCCACCCCCAGGTAGTCTGAAGCTGGGAGGGATGAGGTGGGCACTGGAGGTACCCGCCTCTGGGCCACTGGCCGAGCCTCACCTGGTACTCCTCCTCCAGGCGTGACAGCAGCACAGCCTGCTCCACTGTCAGGCGCAGGTCAATCAGGCCCAAGGTCAGCATCATGGACTTGAGCTGGGCCACTACAAACTCAATTCCTGCAGGGACACAGGCCAAGTCAGGACCCAGGGCACCTCCGCCCTGAAACAGACAGAGCAGTTGCTATACCTATTCCTTGTGAGTCCCTCCATCCCTAGAAAGGTGCAAAGGTACCAGGCAGTGGAAACAAATTACAGGGCACATGGCTTCTTGACCAACTTTGTAGCCATTCCTCACTCTCTGCCACGAGCACTCTGGTTTTCCTTGGGGGAGATGCCTCCTCTGGTCCTACCTGTGGTGGGCTCATGACCTGAACCACTTCACCTCCTGCCCCAGTGACTGGTTCACAGATGGGCATAGGTCCTAGTCCAGGTTGATAAGACTTGAAGTTCTGAAGAAGAGAAAGTCAACTTTCTCCTAGAAGGATGTGAGCCTGCTGTCCCCTCAGACTGAACAAAAAAGTGAAAATCAGAGCCACGCCCTGAGCCTTCCTGTGACTCTCTGGGCTGTGGATACCTGGGCCTGGGTGTCCCTCCACAGTCTGAGGCCCAGGAAATGCCAAGCATACCTTGTAGGGCCCACATGTTGTAAGATGCCAGGTGGCTGGCGAGTACCTCTCGGGTTCTGGCTGGAATGCTGGGCCCCAGTATGCTGGTTGAAGAGCCGATCTCCACGCCATATCTGAAAGGAAAAGGCTTTGGTGTGCTGTGCATCTCAGCTTTTGTCCAGGAACAAAGCCCTAAACTGCTGAGCAGGTGAGCACCCCCTTCAGGGAAAGTGGTCAAGAAGTCAGTCCTGGGGATTCTGGGAACGACTGCCACTGTAGTCAGTGGCCTCCTGACCTAATAATTTCCATCCTGAGTAAAGCCAGAGGGTTAAGAAACCGCCCTGAGTGGAGGCACAGTCAGTGAGTCGTGCAAGCAGGGGCCTCACTCACGTGAGGCTGCCAGAGACTATCTGCCTGGAATCTCTGTCAAAAGCATGGATTACTGCTTTTTAAACTTTTTAAGAAACATTTTCACATTGAGGTCATAAAAGATTTAAGTATCATTTTCCTTCAATAATATTTGTGTGTGTCCTGTACCATTCAATCACTTTATTAAATATTTATTAAGCCTCTATATACACAAGGGGACATGAGCTAGCTTCAGGAATGATACATTTTCAAGAACAATCATAACTCCATAAAATACAGGAAAAACATAATAGAATAAAAGCAAATTTTAAATTTTTCTATTTTTTTGCTTAAATTTTTATTTTCCAATTGCAGTTGATGTACAATATTATGTTAGTTTCAGGTGTAGAACCTAGTGATTAGACATTTATATAACTTACAAAGTAATCACTCTAATAAATCTAGTACCCACCTGGCACTATACATAGTTATTACAATATTATTGACTATATTCCCTATGCTCTATTTTACATCCCATGACTATTTTGTAACTACCAATTTGTGCTTTTTTTTTTAATCCTCACCTGAGGATATTTTTTTCCCCATTGTTTTTTTTTAAATCCTCACCCAAGGATATTTTTTCTATAGCTTTTCAGAGAGAGTGGGAGAAACATCGATGTGAGAAAGACACACTGATTGGTTGCCCCCTACATGTACCCTGACCAGGGCCAGGAATGGAGCCTGCAATGGAGGTACGTGTCCTTGGCCGGAAACGAAGCCAGGACCCTTCAGTCCAAGGGCTCACAGTAACCACTGAGCCAAACCAGCTAGGGTCCCATTGCTTTTTAGAGAAAATAGAAGGGAGGGAAGGAGGGGGAGAAAAGAAAAAGAGAAACACTGATGTGAGAAAGACACACAAATTGGTTGCCTCCCACACGAGCCCCAGCCAGGGCTAGGGACTGAACCTGCAACCCAGGTACATGCCCTTGACCAGGAATCGAACCCATGACCCTGAGGGGCATGGGCCGACACTCTAACCACTGAGACACACCGGCTAGAATCCCTTTACCCTTTTTCACCCAGCCTCCCAACCCCCATTGCCTCTGGTAACCATCAAAATTTTTTCTGCATCTATAAGTCTGTTTCAGTTTTGTTTGTTTTGTTGTTTAGATTCCACATATAAGTGAAATCATATGGTATTTGTCTTTCTCTGTCTTATTTCCCTCAGTACAATATCCTCTAGGTCCATCCATGTTGTCGCAAATGGTAAGATTTCATTCTTTTCCATGGCTAATATTCCATTGTACACATGCACCACCTCTTCTTTATCTATTCGTCTATTGACAGGCACTGAGGTTGCTTCCATATCTTGGCTATTGTAAATAATGCTGCAATAGATATACAGATGCATATGTCTTTGGGTTTCTTCAGACAAACAAATGCCCAGGGTGGAATTGCTGGGTCCTCTGTCTCTTGTTACAGCCTTATTTTAAAGTCTATTTTGTCTGGTACAAGTATTGCTATTCTAGCTTTTCTGTTTCCATTTTCATGAAATAACTTTTTCCATTCCTTTATTGCAGTCTGTGTGTATCTTTCGATCTGAAGTGAGCCTCTTATAGACAGCATATGTATGGGTTTCTTTTTATATCTATTCAGTGACTCTATGTCTTTTGATTGGACAATTTAATCCATTTGCATTTAAAGTGATTGTTGATAAATATGTATTTATTACCATTTTATTATTCATATTCTTGACCTCTTTTCGTCTTAAAGAAGACCCTTTAACATTACTTTTAATACTGGTTAAGGGGTGATGAACTCCTTTAGCTTTATCCTTGTCTGGGAAGCTCTTTATCTGACCTTCAATTCTGAATGATAGCTTTGCTGGGTAGAGTAATCTTGGTTGTAGGTCCTTACCTTTCATCACTTTGAATAATTTGTGCTACTCCCTTCTGTCCTGCAAAGTTTCTGTTGAGAAATCTTCTGTTGACAGTCTTATGGGAGCTCCCTTGTAGGTAACTAAGTGCTTTTCTCTTGCTGCTTTTAAGATTCCCTCTTTGTCATTAAACTTTGGCATTTTAATTATGATGTGTCTTGGTGTGGGCCTCTTTGGGTTCATCTTGTTTGGAACTCTCTGTGCTTCCTGGGTTCATGTATCTTTTTCCTTCACTCAATTTTTCTGTCATTTTTTTAAACAGGTGTTCAATTCCTTGCGCTCTCTCTTCTCTCTTCTCTTACCCCCATGATGTGAATGTTGGTACATTTGATGTTGTCTCATCATTCTGTCCCTTATTCTTTTTGGGATTTTTCTTTTTGCTGTTCTAATTGGGTGTTTTCCGCTACCTTACGTTCCAAATAGCTGATTCAGTCCTCTGTTTCGTCTAATCTGTTGATTCCTTCTAGTGTGTTCTTCATTTCAGTCATGTAATTCTTCATTTCTGACTGGTCCTGTTTTGTGTTTCCTCTCTCTCTCTGTTGAAGTTCTCACTGAGTTGATCTACTCTTTCCCTAAGTTCACTGAGCATCCTTATAACCAGTGTTTTGAACTCTATATCTAGTAGATTGCTTAACTCCATTTAATTTAGTTCTTTTTCTGGAGTTTTGTTCTATTCCTTCATTTGGGACATGTTTGTCTCATTTTGGCTGTCTCCCTGTGTTTGTTTCTATGTATTAGGTAGAGCTGCTACATCTCCCAGTCTTCGTACAGTGGCCTTACGTGGTAGGTGTCCTGTGGGGCTGCCTCCCCCGGTCACCCAAGCAGGGTGCTCCAGGTGCACCCCCATTGTAGTTGAGCCTTGACTGCTGTTGGCACATTAATGGGAGGGACTGACCCCCAGGCCAACTGGCTGCAAAGACTGGGTGAGATTATAGCAGAAGAGCTCCTGTACAGAGGCCAACCCCACAAAGCAGGTCTCACTTCAGTGGGACTCAGGTACTCACCAAGTCCACCCCTTGTGTGTGTTACAAGTGGAAGTGGTTGGGTGGTGCTCCAATGTGGTCTGAAGCTATTCACTGGGTGCACTGGCTCTGGGGCCTCCTGGGAGGTGCAGGTCAAAGTCAGTCCTTGCCTGTGCCCTCTCTGGGGTCACCCAGTATGAGCTACAAAGTGATCTGCAGATGGCTGCCACTTGTTCTGGGCTTGGAGAGGCCAAGCTGCAAACCAAGGCCAGCTGCCACTAGTGCCAGGCTTGGGGCTGCTTAGCAAGAGGTATGGGGCTTGCTGAGGCCAAATGCTGCTTGTTTGGGGTTTGTGGACCTTTGGGAGATTTTAGGAAAGTTCTGTAGCATGAGCCAACACAGACTGTTTCTATGGAAACACCACTGGAAGCAGCTTGGGCTGGCCCAAAAGTTAGATGAGGCAGGGTCTCAGGGAATCACCAGGTCTGGGTGAACAATGATAGCCAGGTTGACGAAGTCTCAGATATGGCACCTGCCTACTGGGGGAGGGCTCAGCAAGGGAACAATGGCCTCTGCCAGCACTTCTGTCTGGGAGAAAGCTGCCCCGCCAGCCTTTCCCTTGAAGCCATGCCATTCAACTCCTCCCTTATGTCCCTGGTGCCTTTCAGAGCTGCTCCCCTTGCTGGAGCTCAGAGGGAGTGAGTCCATGCGTGGGCTCTTTAAGTGGAACACCTGGGACTCCAGCAGCCCTCCATCTCACTCACCCACAATCCCTACTGATTTTCACAGCCAGAAGTTATGGGGACTTCTTTTCCAGGCACTGGAACCCTGGGCAGGGAAATATGGTGTAGGGTTGGGAACCCTCGCTCCTCGGGGGGTACCTCCACAGCTGAGATTTCCCTCCTGACTTTTAACCACCACACATGGGTGTGGAACCTGCCTGTTCTGCATCTCTGCCTCTCCTACTAGTCTTAATGTGGCTTCTTCTGTATATTCTTAGTTATGGGACTTCTGTTCAGCTAGATTTCAAGTGGTTTTCAATGATGGCTGTTCTTTAGTTTAGTTGTAATTTTGATGTGGTCGTGAAAGGATATGAGTACCACATTTACCTACTCCACCATTTCACCGGAAGTTGTAATTTTCTTTCCTGTATCACTGACTTTTCCCATTTGTTTAGAAATATTCTTGCTGAAAATTTTAATAGTACAAATGGAACACAGCAAATGGCCCAGTTTTTCTGTAAATTATTAACAACAAGAAATCTCAACTGCCACAAAAAGCTGACAATTTGGGGGTTTTTTGTTTGTTTTTGTTTTTTGTTTTTAAAAGCTTACAATTTTGTATCATAGCAGAGATCTCCAGGCACCTAAATATTGTTTTATTTCATTAGACACCAAAGTGAAATTATGTCCTTATAGTTCTTACATAGTACTACAGTTGTAACATTTCACTTGATCCTTTAATACACTGGCTATAGCTTTTACTATAGATTACAAGGATGCCTGGCACATTGTGGCTACTCAGAAAATGTGTACAAATGAGACAGGCCGAATGACAGACATCACTTTTGTGAAAAATTCTATGCCAAAAACTACTCCACATAAGCTTACAAAATACTGTGGGGTCAAGACAGTACCGAGGTACTAGCCCTTCCTGAATTTTGCCACCACATCAATAGTCTATTCAGTCTGCACGAAAGAGTCTTCCTGCTAAGGAAGAATACTGGGCAGCATCAATTCCTGGGCACCTTATATCCACAGTATAAATGTTACATATAATTTTGTAGGATGCTGTCCAGAGTTTTCTCCATATGTGTATGTATCATACACACTGTTTTATGATTTATTTTAATAGTGTAGCAACTGTGACATCGGTAAAGATGACAACTGCCAGAATGTGTGCATTTACTGTGTGCCAAGCAGGATGCTAACCATCACTTCATTTACTCCTCACAATATCCTAAGAGGTCGGGACTATAAGCCCCACTCACAGACAAAGAAGCTAACCCTTAGGGAGATCAAGTCACTAGCTCAAGGCCACACAGCCAATCACGGCACTGCTGGGGCCCCGCATCTACACTCGGCACTATGCCTACTAATAACAGGTGCTTGGTGCATGATGGCTGAAACAAATTTGAGGAACATCTTTTCCAAAGTGGCCCCATTACTGAACATCTGGACAGTGTGAAATCCCAAGGGTGCTCTGGACTCAGAAGTCTACTAGCTAAGGGCTCTGCTTTGTCCAGCATGGCCCCCTGACCCTAAGAGTCTGCCCAGCACCACAGGGTTGCATATCTTACCTCTTCTCGGCCCATTCTAGGATTGGGTCCCACTCGTTCTTTTGAAGTTCCACTAATGTCTCTGGCTCTTCCACCCTGTAGCTAATTCATTGCAAAAATCACCTTCATTAATAAAAAAGTACAATTCCTTCATTCCGTGACAGACAACAGAAAACCACAAAAGGCAACAGCAAAAAGCACATCACTACTGTCCCAGCCCCACAGAGCACCATCTGGGAACTTGTTTAAGAGCAAGTTCTCAAGCCCCACCCCATAACTATGGAAAGCACCTCTGGGATTGTTTTAACAAGCCCTCCAGGGGATTCTAATGTGAGCCTGAGTTTGAGAACCATTGTCCTACATGTCCCTAATTATTTGAAGGGTCAAGGCCGGCAGCACTATGTTAGTACCATTATGAACACTAATACTGGATGCTCAAATCCACACCCACTCGGCCCTAGGATGCTGAATGTGAATGCTGTATAGAACTGTCACTGCATCCCTACCTACCTGCACCCCTTCCAAGAGGGCATGTTCCTGGCCACAGACCAAGTTGCCTGTTTGGACTTCATGAGCCCACCTGCCTCCTGACTACAGATGCAGATGCTGCCACGAGGCCTGACGCCACCGATGCCAGGCCATACCAGTTGTTTTGACTAAGAGACATAGAGATGGAGTCAGCTGAGGGGAGCTTAGCTGCAAGGCCTCATGGGACAGGAACCCAAGTGGGCACCGTGGAAAACCAGTCCAATGTGAACAGAGGGGAGAAGAGAGATTACATGTGTGTAAGAAAAGCTGGGCTGCTGAGGAGCAGACAAGTGTGTGGACTCTCCCCCCAGGGCAGAAGGAGGAACTCTGGTTTCCAACCTTCCAGCTCCCACATCGCATGGCCAACTGTCAATTTCCTATTAGAGTCCCTGTATGGCTTTCAAGAAAACCCTTTTACCAGAGCTAGGGTTTCTGTTCCCTGCAATTAAATGGCCTCTAACACATATGGAGTGGACTTTCTGACTAGCAACTCAAAACTGGCACTGCAGGCCACCTCTCCAGGAGTGCCATTCCCTCCTCACCCCACTGCTGACTTCACATGCCAGCTGTGAGATAACTGAGGCTGCTAGAGCACTCAGCCAACAGACACAGGCGGCTCAGCCAACTCAGCACTTCGTCAACTTTCCTTCAACGTCACTAACCAATTAGCTAGAGAACACAGAGAAGGGAACTCCTTCAGCCTGAATGCCTTAAGCTGGGACATCAGTTCTTTTCCTGCCTTTGGGCTCCGAATGAAACACTGGCTCATTCCAGTTCTCAAGCCTGCTGGAGTGGTACACGTCAACTCTCATGGGTATCCAGTTCACCACTGAGACCTTGGGATTCCGTCTCCAAAATCCTGTGAGTCACTGTTTATAATAAATATGTGTGTATGTGTGTATGCATGCGTGTGCATGTGTATGTACAAGCGTTTGTACATGTATATGTGTGTGCGCGTGTGTGTACATGTGTATGTGCATGTATGTGTGTATACACACACATATATCTTTTAAGCCTTCAGACCCGGACTGAGCTATGCCCCTGGCCTTCATTATCTAGCTTGCAGATGGCAAGTTGTGAGACTGCTTGGCCTCTGAAATTGAGTGAGCCAATTCCTATAATACGTACATATGTATATTTAAAAAAAGGAAAATAAAGAACATAGGCACGATGGGAATATTTAGAAATGAGGAAGCCAGCTCCCGAACATCAGCGCCTGCCCACCCCTGTCCAGCTGACAAGCAGCGGGAAGGGTGCCTACATGAGACTGTCTAGTAGGCAGAAGCAGAGGGTCAGAGGCCCTGCTGGGGGTTGGCAAGTGACCCCCTTGGTTCTAGAGCCTGCAAGAGCTGCTTACACCCCACTCCACCCCAGGCCAAGGGACAGCTGCCAGGCTGCAGAAGAGCTGTGCCCAGTGCTCTGACACCACTGCAGCCCGAGGAGTTCTCTGTCCTGGGGGTCTGCAGAGCAGCTGAATGCTAGTATCAGCTAGACTGTTTTCCCTGCCCTGGGACATAAAGGAAAGGGGCTGCCTCTTCTACCTATAACTGGGTAAATGAGGCAAAACAGCCCAAGGAACTCACTAGGTCCAAGGGGAATGCTCATCTAAACGTCAATTACCAGATGGTGTCGGTGTCCAGGAACTTCACAGCTGCCCGGATCAGCTGGTCCTTGTTTCGTTGCGTCGGGTTGTCTAAAGACGTGTTGCACAATGTGGTCTGAATCAAAAGGCAGAGAACCCTATCACCACCTACTGGGCCCGGGCAAAAGCACTGCGTTCCTGAGGACCCCGTTTCCAACCCACAGAGGCAGGGAGAGCCAGCCAGCCAGCGACACCCAGCAAGTAGCAGCGCCAAGCCCAAGCCTTTGACCCATGGTGTCTCCACAGCCTCCGCTGCAACACATCTGAGAGCTGACTACAGCCAGAGTCTGTGCCAACAGTGCACTGTGTGTGACAGCTCGTGGGACTCACAGAATATTCAGAGGCCCTAGGATTGATGTACTTCCTAAGGTTTCACACTCTTTACTACCGGGCTCTGCTGTACCACTTTGGATAGGTACTATTATACCCATTTCAGAGATGTGGAAACTGAATCCCACAGAGGTCAAATTCAGTTAAATAAGACACATAAGCATTACTGGAAACCAAATATGACTGAAAAGCTTACCAGCTGGCTCCCTTAACACCTCAGAAAGCAGGAGAACAAATCAGCCGAACCAGAAACAGGATTACTTTCCAGATTGGCCTTGTCGAGAGTAGATTGCTAGGTACTCTATGATTAGTTTGTAGCCCTGTCAGCCTATGTCATAGACAAAGGAGCAGGCCAGGCCAGCATTGCAGCAGGGTGTGAAGATGTTGAGGAACATGCCGAGGTCCGGTATGTCAAGGCTGAGCTCGGCGGTGGCCAGGCTGATAGCACTAACTCCAGTGTTGACTGAATGCTCTCTGTATGTACCAGGAACCACACTCAGGCCTTTCTATGCATCAGCTCATTCCATCCTGATCACCACTCTATCAGTGGGCACTGTTATCACCCACCGCTCACAGATGGGGAACATGGGGCTGACATGGGGCAGTAACTTGCCCAAGGTTATAGTTTGGAAGCTGCAGGGCCTAAAGCCAGGGTCTAGCTGGCCCTTCCTCAGGCTGCTCTAGTGCCTCAGTGAGTCATACTGTGTGGATGGGCACTGGCTCCATGAGGTCCTCACCTGCCCCACCTGCCCTGCCTGCCCCTTTGGTTCTTGCACTCAACCAAAACTGAGTGCCAACTAAACTTCATACTAGGAGTTGGCCATGCACTGGTAAGACAGACATGGTTCTTCCATCTGTGCTTACAAGGCAGTGCAAACATAAAACAGACAATTACAAACCATGGTGCTGATGAAACAAAAGAATAGCTGCCATGATAGAAAATAAGACAGCAGGGCAGTTAGGGAGGGTGACATCTGCCCAAGACCAGAGACCCAGCCAGCCAACCAGCAGCACAGCGCTCTGAGCAGGGGACCTGCAGGTGGCCAGGCCACAGGGGGAGCGTTTGGCACATAGGAGGAGGCAAGTGTGGCTGTAGCCCATGCCCAAAGGCTTTATTGCAATTTGGATAGGAGTCTCAATTTTTGCCAGGTGCCCTAGAAAGCCACCAGCAGGCATCGGAGGATAGGTTTGTGAACTTGTTACCAGATGCATGGTGTAGAACTTGATGGTGTCCCGCTGGGAGTCCCATTCAGTGGCCACTGCGATGGCCAGGGCTTCGCTGGGGACAGTGAAGAGCTTGGCTTGGGGAGTTTTCAGCTTCCTGTGGTCCAGGTTTATCTCAAAGCCACCTTGAAAGATCAAATGAAAACCTCTCAGGGATTGTTAAGTGGGATTGAGTGACCATTCCTATATTTAGCTACTTGAACTGGTGCAGACAAGGACAACCCTGAGTCGTTCCATGGAGGGCTTACGGAAACATCCGACAAAAGCGCGAAGGGTCATCTCACCACCCAACTGGCTGGAGGTGAAAATGTTTCTGCCCATTCACAGGAAAAAGAGGCGGAGCTTCTGACACTCACCTTCCCCCTGTGTGACGCTGACGTCCCGATAAAACCTCTTCCTTTCTGTGGGAAAGAGTTTCAGAGGCAGTGAAATCACGTTGAGACAGCTCCGGGAGCGACGAGACCAGTCTGCATCGTTACTGCTAACTGCTGACTGACTCGATTTTCATATCGCTATTCAAGGTCTGCCCTACTCTCTGTGGCATGATCAACAGCTTCTGATCAAAGCCCGTGGCAGGAGGGCACTCGCCCTCCAGCAATAAGGGAGGAACAGGACAACTGGTCAAGCCCCCGCCAGCCCAGGGACAGTCTGATCACACAGCATCGTGAGCCAACAGACCGTCTGGCCCAACGGACTTTTCCAGTGCCTTCTGCTTTAACTTCTAAGCATGCTCCTCCCTCAGCACCCCCACTAGTGCTGCCCCCATGCCAGCACAATGTGCCCATTTCAGGCAAGAGGCCGATTCCTCTAAGGCAGGAGTGGGAGCCAGGGTGGACGTGATGTGCGTGTACATGCGTGTGGTGCCCAGGCAGTAAGCAGAGATCCCAAGAGCATTCCCATCCCCTATACTAATTAATTAACCTAATTAACCAGCTTGCCTGTGTGTTTAACAGGAACTCCAAACATTTCCTTTAGGAAGGGAAAAACCTGTGTCCTGTGTTTCCTTCTGAAAATAACTTGAATAAAATCTTATATGAAAATATAAACACATTCCTCCTCTTCCACCTGGGGGGATTAAAAACCAAGAGTACTGCATAAAGAATTATGCAGGTTCCTTCAATTAACAAAGAACAAATAAGTCACATTTTGGAAGCTATAAACCATAACCCAGTCCTTACCATCTGTGATAAACAAAATCTTCATTCATTCATTCATTCGTTTGTTCTTTCACATATTCATCAGATACCTAAAGCCTTCAGAGTCTGACTAAAGTTACTTATTGGAAATAACGATGTAGCATGTGAAGGAAAAGGAGATTCATTAGTTTTTAATGCTTTTTAACTTCTTTTAATGTTATTTTTAACTAAGCTTCAGTTGAAGTTTTATTAATTCAAACTGACTATGGAAATCAGAACTTTGTTTAGTGTGGGAAGAGGGAGTAATGGAAAGAGAGTATCTGGTCTTACTCCAAACATTATATTTTTATGTTTTGCACATCATATGGGGGGTTTTTTCATGAATCTCATTTGCTATCCTTAATGCTTACAGATGGAAATTGCACTCCCGTGGTTGCACTTACTAAACTAAGACCTAAACTGTTTTTCCACAAAAAATATTTGTACCAACCTTGTACCAGGTTCTTGGGATAAAACAGTGAATAAAACAGACAAAAATCCGTGTTTTCAGAGTTAAAATTTTTTTTAAGTGATCAGATCTGACAACTGATGATACTACATTATTAGAGCATGATCTACCACCTTCGTCTGAAATAATAATACTGATTCTCTCACACATCTGACACCAAAACTTCACCTCGCTGCTTTTAAGTTTCCCTGCTGTACAGGTTGTCAGTCATACTCAGAGGGCAGGTGCGACACATCTGGAGGCTCCTTGTGTGTCTGAAGGCCTGGATCAATGCATCCAGATGGCGGCCAGGATGCTCTCCAATGCCCTGGCTGGGCAGCATGTCTACAGCCAGGCCAGGCAGGAAGTGGGAAGAGCTGAAAGCTCTGACTCATCACAGGGGTGTGGGTGGGGATCCCCTGAGCAGGAAGTGTCAATGGAGAGCATTCTAGCACACTGCCCCACACAGCCCTGGGAAATGGGTCCAGGAGACCTGGGGGCCAAGGAATGGACTCTGACAGCACAGGCCAAGACAGCAGGGTTTCCCACGAGGGAAGTCTTTTTTTTTCTTTCTGCTTTGCTGGCCAGGCCTACTTCTTTATCTGTTAGGAGGACAACTGGAAGAGGGTGGGATGGGTGCAGGCGCAAGGAAGGGGCAACCAAAATTGCTCAAAACAGGAGAAAACCATGTAGAAAAAGATAACAGCTGGGCAAAAGGAGCACGAAAGCTGTGAAGCAGCGGTCGACGGTGGGCCCACGTGAGGGTATGTTTTAAACACGTATCTGAATGGAGCAGTGACAGGTGGAGGGCAAACTTCAGTCTTGGAAGTTTTAAAACAAACTTTGGTGAATATTAATCCCTTTCCAGGAAGTATGATAAGTCCTGGCAATAGGACTCAAAGCTCACCCCTACCCTAGAGGCACTAACTATCCAGCAGGGAGATGGACACTAAACTGGCCAAACAATAAAGTATAAGGAACACTGAGATACACGCTGGGGAAGCTCACTCCCCTGTGGGCTAAAGGAATAGCTCCCAGCAGTCAGATTCCATCTGAGACTAAAGGGGAAGGAGTTAGTCAACCTGCACTGATAGGTTCATTTCTAGAGGGGGTACATGTGAGAGTTTCCAGCAGAGGAAACAGCTTACACGAAAGTCTGGGGCCTCAAGAGAGCACAGTTTTGAAGAACTAGAAAGGCAGTCAGGAGAAGACTGTAGCTATCCAGCAGAGAATGGTTAGAGATGCCCAGAGAGTGGTGGGGGCTAGATCTGGAGAGAGGGGTCAGTTGGTTACAGTGAGGAGGGCAGAGGGAGCCAAGTAAGGAGTTCCCATAGGCAAATATGATCTGGAAAATTCAGTTGGTGGGAGTTGTGCTCCCCAACAATGACAGAAGATAAAGGTTCTTCACCTGGGCCCTCAAAGGTCTTGGGCTACACAGGACAAAACATGAGGCCACTAGAAGCCTACAAAACTTCCATTGTGTCCATGAATACAGGGCTAGCTGACAGCAACAGGAACACCATCTTTATTTTTTCCATTGTTTTTCAGAGGGAGGGAGGGAGGGAGGGAGATCAAACCAGCTAGGGCAGGAACACCATCTTTAAAGATGAAAGAAACAGCCTAGCCTTGTAGGAGCACGCAGAACTCGGGTCTATTTTGAGTATGAATCACTCCCTTTACAGAACATCTGTTTCTGTGGCAAAAACACACCCAGTGCCTTTTAAGAGACAATTTTGTGGACTATGTAGATACAAAGAAATGGGTATGTAAAAAAGTGCTGAATTTAAAAAGCTGACCACAAGAAAACAGGCTATGTAAGCAGAGACAAGTTACAAAAAACCTGCTTATGTGAAGGGTACTGAATTGGAAATTAATGTCCATTGGGTCCCATTTCCTGTGATGTTGCTTCAATCCATTTAAAGAAACAGGCTATTTTCTGTGTCATTTCCCCAACACTGCTCCTCCTGTCCCAGGCTTCATGGACCAGTGAGTGATCTTTCTATCAGCCCCCAATTACCAGGCTCTCTTTGCTCTATAAGGACTTTGCCTTGGTCTTTGCTCTTTATGCTCTTTGCCTCAGAACGAGGACTCCCACTGTGCACCAAGAGCTGGAGAAGCGCCCTCCTGTAGCTGCCTCACACTTATCTTTCTAACAGTGCCATCTGGCGGCCCTTAAGCTTTAAAGCTGAAATTCTCTCTCGGGCTATCCCTGCCATCCATAATGGAAGGAGAGGGGTCTCACACCAACCGTTGCTGGTATCAAAATTCTTCAGGCCAACTATATAAAGAACACTTACAACTCAATAATAAAAAGACAAATAACCCAATTAAAAATGGTATATGGATCTGAATAGACATTTCTCCAAAGAAAATATACAAATATACAATGAGCACATAAAAACATGCTCAACATCACTCATCATCAGTGAAATGCAAATCAAAACCAGGAGATACTGCCCAGCTGGGCATGGCTCAGCAGTTGAGCATGGACCTAGGATCCAGGAGATCGAGTTTCAATTCCTGGTCCAGGCACATGCCCTGGTTGCGGGCTCGATCCCCAGCAGGGGGCATGCAGGAGGCAGCCGATCAATGACGACTTTCTCATCATTGATGTTTCTCTCTCTCTCTCCCTCTTCCTTCCTCTCTGAGATCAATACAGACATATTAAAACAAAAACAACCAGGAGATACTAGTTCACATTCACTAGGATGGCTATAATAAAAAAGACAGATAATAACAAGTGTTGACGAGGATGTGGAGAAACTGGGACTTGCATACACTGCTGGTGGAAATGTAAAATGGTGCAGCTACCTTGGAAAGCAGTGTGGCAGTTCCTCAAAATGTTAAACAGTTACTGTTTGACCCAGAAGTTCTACTTTAAGATATATGAGAAATGAAAACATATTCCCATATAAAAACTTGTGCATGAATGTTTATAGCAACATTATGCAGAATAGTCAAAAGATGGAAACAACCCAAATGTTCACCAATAGGTGAACAGATGAATAAGATGGAATATTATTCAGCAATGAAAAAGAACAGAGAACTAATACATGCTATAACTTAGATAAACCTTGAAAACATTCTAAGTGAAAAAAAGCCAGTCAAAATAGACCACATTCCATTTATATAAACTGTTCAAAATAGGGAAATGTATAGAAACAGAAAGTAGTGGTTGCCTAGGCTGGAGGGGACAATGGGAGGGTGACAGCTAAAGGGCACAAGGTTTCTTTTTTGGGATAATAAAAATGTTTTAGAATTGACTATGGGTGGTGGTTGCATAACTCTGTGAATATACTAAAAACCATGTAATTGTACACTTTAAATAAATGAAAGATAAGTGAGTTATACCTCAGTAAATCTGTTACAAAATTCTTCAGGCCAAATGTATCTGTCATAGCAATTAATGTAAATGGGCTAAATAATTAAACACACTTTTTCCAAATTGCTGTAGCATCCAGAGCAGAGGTTGGCAATTTTATTCTTTAACGAGCCAAATGGTAAATATTTTAGTCTTTGCAGGCCATTCAGTCTCTGTTGCAACTACTTAACTCTGCCACTGTAGTGAAAGCAGCCCTAGACAATATGCAAATGAATGAGTGTGGCTGTGTGCCAATAAAACTTTACTTACAAAAACAGGTGGCAGGCTGGATGCCTTATCTACAGATTCTCCCTCAGCCTGCCACAACCATGAGAAAGATGCCTCTGAGGTGGTAGACTCTGAGAAGCTAAATGACTTGTCCAGGTGTCAGAGAAGCTACAAATGAAGTAGACAAGACTTCTGCCCTTGACTTCACTGGGCATTCACACTCAGCCACACATGCTGCCTCTTCAGAACACTTTCCCCTCCAAGCAGCTGGTACCCAGCTGGACTGCCACACAGCCTCACACGGGTCTCCTTGCTGCCACATCTCCTCTAACACCCAAGTGATCCTTCCCTAACCCCCTTTTCTCCTCCTGACCAACTTCAATGTCATGGCCATTTCTATGGGGCCAAGATCAACCTACCTGCCAATTGAAGTCTTCATCAAGGCCCCACTTGGATTTAATCTTCCACCACTCCAGAGACTCTCAGAATCTCACAACTGGCAAAGTCGCTAGATCACCCATAGGCCTGATTCACATACCTCCCTCCCACTGTGCTTTATTCTTTCATTCCTTCATATTTTCTTTCACGACTGATGACCTACCATGTGCCAAGTACTTCCAAGAACCCAAGCTAGTAAGTGTGCAGTAGACAGGAATAGGAGGCCCAGCCTGGTAGCTCAGTTGGTTAGAGCATCGTCCAGATATGCCAACATTGTGGGTTCAGTCCCCGGTCAGGGCACATGCAAGAATCAACCAATGATGCATCAATAAGTGGAACAACAAATGGATGTTTCTCTCTCTCACACAAATCAATTTTTTAAAAAAAAGATTCTTTAAAAGAAAAGGAAAAGGAGATGGCAGATGAAAAGCCCCCATAATGGGAGTGGCATCCACTAGCCTAAACCAACCCTCTGCTTTTGCCAACTTAAGTGAACGCCACCTCTCGTGTTCCTTTACACACCAACACAGGCACTCCAAATAGGGGGAGGGGTTCCCAATCAACTCTGCAACACTAGCGGGGAGTCCTACAGTTCCATTAAGTTCTGACACTATCCACTTGGAGCTGGTATCGGATCCCACAGGATAAGGGTTGAGTCCCACAAGACTGCCCACCCCACCCCACC